TTTCTTCTCATCTTCCTTCAATTTCTTTAACTTCAGCTTGTTATGCATCTTAAGCGCTGTATCACACAGTGCACTACTCGCATTCCCGTCACACGTAGCGATATTTACAACATCATAGTATCGCTTCTCCTTGCCCCCGATCGCAGTCGCTGCCTGCGACGACTCTTCACTCTGGGAATGCGCACGTCTGAAGATGCGAGAGATACGCAAGCTACGACGCAAATACTCGGACATGCGTGAGTGTACAGCAGTTGTACTAGCTGCGCCAGCCAATGGCGACTGATGTGATTGATGCGTGTCAGAGGCGGTAGTATCTTGTTTAGCAGAGTGATTTTTCTGCTGGGCGCAACGTAATTCGGTGATAGTTTCCTCGGCTATGTGACCCCATGCGGCGCGTCCGGTATGCGGATGCATTACTCTATTCGTGCGCACTCGACGCACGTTGTGGTGCTCATAGTTCTCTACAATGATAATCGGCGTGGCTGTTGGTGGCATGTTGTTGTGTTGGCTGGACGCCGCTTGCGTCGTTGTGCCATTCAAATAAATATGCGGCTGCAAGGAATGACAATTTTGGGCGTGTGCAACGCGATGCGTTTTGAGGCTACGCCAGCGGAATAGACGACGTGCGCGACTCAGATAATCCGTAGCATCGTCCGCGCTGTCCGTACAATCGCCATCACAAGGCGAACTCGGTGCTGAGTTCATGCTGCCACAGCGGCCGCCTTCACATTGCAAGTCGCGTACTAAATCTGGTTGTTGACGTACAGCACTGGCGTTGCTGTTGCATCGTCGCCTTTGCTGTAGTTGCGACTGCTGTTGGGGGTGATGATGTAGCAACAAACATGCGCAGGTATGTGTGTGTGTCCTTTGTTGTTGTGTGTGATTTTTGTTGGCGTTGTCCTTGATGTTGTTGCGCTCGCTACTTCGCGTATTTTGTGTGGCATTGTGGCCACTGGCGCTGCTGTTACTATTCGTATCGAAATTACTGCTGCTGGCTGTTGTTGTAACAGTTGTGTGGTGTTGATGTGAGTTGTGATAGTGGTGGTGATGGTGGAAATGGTTGTGTTCATGTTGGTGTTGGTGTTGATTTTGTGCTAAATGATGTGCGATGGGTACCTTCAAACTACATGTGAGCCAAATGTGCTCTTGCAGGGAAAGCGGACGCATTCGAAGCATGCTCGGAATATTGGCTAATAAGTGTATTTGATCGCACGAAAGGGAAAACATACCTGTACGCTCGTCGTGATACTCATCGTCGTCGGATGACTCAAGGCGATCCTCGACGAGTGATGTTTGCCGTGAGAGACCCTGTTCAGTAACGGTTGTGGGTACAATTTGCAGTTTGATGTTTGATTGTTTTTTTTTTTATTCATTGTTATTATTATTGGAGTTACCGTGTTTTT